GGGGGGAGAGCACCAGGCTTCCCAAATGCTTAATGTAATCACGGGCCAGCTGCGTGCACTTGTAAAGTTGTTATAACCCCCCTCCTTGGTATAAACAGGAAAGCGCAGAATATAAAGCAAGAGACCCGCATTCACAAATACCAGCTCTCCCGAGCCAGCTGCCAAATTCCCCTTTTATGGTGTTCCTTGCTTTCAACCTCAGCCCCATCAGAGAGACCTTAGTTTCTCCCCCTGAACTCTCCAAATGGGTTTATTTGAAACTTCCCTCCACCGAGCTGTGGACCAGGTACCCCATGCCCTCTGCAGCTCCCCAGCCCCCTATGCATTGGTCTCAGGAGAAGCTGGGTTTCTGGAGTCCTCTTCCCCAGATCCCTGGGGAGCCCTGGAGGTCCAGGCTTGCCCCCTATGGGATACTAGGCCTCTAGGAAGCGCCCTGACTCCTGCAGGGCATGTCGAGGATCTCTCCAAGGAGAGCTGCATCCTCTTCTCATCAGACTCCCAAATCTCTTAGAGAGACACACCTCTCCTTCCTAAAATATCTAGAAGCTTTCCAAGACCTCCGAAGGCATTTTACAAGAGTATGCGATCTCTACATCTCCTATTAAGCCTGGGAGAAGAGAAGACCTTTTGTGGGAGGTCCCTGGAGTAGGGGCTCCCCGAGGCAAGCGGTAAAACTAGCCCCTGCGCCCCCCCCCCCATCTCCACCTCTCCTTCCTGGCCGGGCAGATCCTGCTCGGAGCCATCGTGGTCCACATCCTGCCTCACCGACTGTGTGTGCTTACAGCGTCAAGGGGTGGACGTGATATTTCAAACATCAGATCAGTGCGTTTATATATTGGGTGCCCGGAAATTTTTCCAAATAAACACAGCTTGATTCAACTTGGGTGGGCGGACTTATCAACAGACTAATTCTATAAACAAATGAAGGAATAGCCCCGAAACCGATTGGCTGGTATCAAAAAGACACGTGGAGGGAAAAGCTTGGAGTTTTTCAGCAATGAAATTTTAATTAATGTGGGTGGGCTGAGAACACAACGACTGTTTATCATAGACAATTTATTTTCCAGCGCTAAGTCAACATATAATAGCAAACTTACAACAATTATTTAACATTTTTAAAGCCATGAAGAAGGGACAGAGCGCGGAGCGGCGGGGGAGAGCGGCAGAGCGGGAGGCAGACGCACGGCGGGCTCCCCGGGAGGGCCCTTGCGGCGCGGGGCGCAGTCCCTAAGTCGCCCGGGTCGCCTGCGTTGCGGGGAGCGCAGCGCCGGCTCCCGCCCGCCCGCCATGAGCCACCTCTTCAGTCCCCAGCTGCATACTCTGGCCGCCTCGCCCATGCTGTATCTGTACGGTCCCGAGAGACCCGGGCTGCCTCTGGCCTTCGCCCCCGCGGCCGCCCTGGCCGCCTCGGGCCGGGCGGAGCCCCCCCAGAAGCCGCCCTACAGCTACATCGCGCTCATAGCCATGGCGATCCAGGACGCTCCGGAGCAGAGGGTCACGCTCAATGGCATCTACCAGTTCATCATGGACCGCTTCCCCTTCTATCACGACAACCGGCAGGGCTGGCAGAACAGCATCCGCCACAACCTCTCGCTCAACGACTGCTTCGTCAAGGTGCCCCGCGAGAAAGGGAGGCCAGGCAAGGGCAGCTACTGGACGCTGGACCCTCGCTGCCTGGATATGTTCGAGAATGGCAACTACCGGCGCCGAAAGAGGAAGCCCAAGCCGGGCCCCGGGGCCCTGGAGGCCAAGCGGTCCCGCGTCGAGACGCAGGAGCGCGGCGCAGAGGCGCAGCCCGAGGTGGGGAACGGGGCAGGGCGCCCCGGCCCCCCGGACCCCCGCCACGAGGGAGAGCCCGTGCGCCCCTCGCCCCTCAGGGAAGGCTCCTCTCCGCCGGCGCCCCTGCACTGGCCCGGGCCGGCGTCCCCAGAGGAGGACGGGGGCGACGCTGTCCAGGGCGCAGCAGCCGTGGCCGTCGGCCAGACAGCGCGCACGGTGAACGGCCCGGGGTCCCCTCCGCACCCAGTCTCCCGCCGCTCTCCGAGTTGCTCCGACAAGTCCAAGAGCTTCAGCATAGACAGCATCCTGGCGGGACGGCAGGGCCAGAAGTCGGCTGGAAGGGGCGAGCTCCCGGGTGGCGCCAAGCAGGAGCCCGGCGGCTGTCTGGGCGCCTCGCTTCTGGCCGCCTCCTCCAGTCTTCATCCGCCTTTCAATGCTTCCCTGATGCTCGACCCGCACGTCCAGGGCGGCTTTTACCAGCTCGGGATCCCTTTCCTCTCCTATTTCCCTCTGCAGCTCCCCGACACAGCGCTTCACTTCCAGTAAAGCCAACAGTGGCGCAGGTCTTTCCCCTGTGCTGGTCTGAGCTTGTGAGCGACCACGGTTCCCACCGCTGGGGGAAGGAGTCATGTTTTTAAAAAATGATCTTTTCCTCTGCCGATGTGTGGATCCTGGGAAGAGTTACCAACTTCTGCGCGCAGGTGGGCACGCTCGCTCGCCTGCCTCCTGGGAGGCAGACCTTCCCGGAACCAGGAGCGGCTTTAGAGATTTAAAAGACCATGCAAGCGCTGGGACTTGGGCAACTCAGACCTCCTAGAGCGCGAGCAGGAGAATTCCTTGATCTTAGGTCAGTCTTATAGCGTGGTCTTCAGCTACCCACCACAGGTCCTGCATGTCTGTGTCTGGGGCACTGGAAGGCCCAGACAGGCCCGGGGCAGGACAGTCGGACGCAGTGTGGTCTTTTCCGTCTGAGAGCCAGTGTCTGACTGTCGCCTGCCTGGTTGTGGTTGTGGCCCAGGCCTTGGCTTTGAGCCCATTGGGGTGATGGGTATGCACAGCTGGGTTTGTCCCTGAAGTCCACCTGTGGGCACGCCAGGGGCGACCCCTGTTTTTCAGGTTTTTTAGCAGATCTAGGGCCTGGTGAGGATTTACGACCATTGTCCAGTGGAAGCTGAGAAACCACACTTTTATTCTAATTAGAGAATTTTTCTCTTTTTCTCTTTCTAGACAGTAAAAGGAACATGCTATATTCTTTGGCTAAATACTTGACTCTTTTTACTATAACAATTGCCCTGTGAAAACGCCTATATTAATAACTTCTATTAAGGAAGTGCACTCTATATAATATAGCATTTTGTTGTGTTATGATAGTTCCTTAGCCAGTACACACGTTCTCCAACGCATGTTACCAACAATAGCAGTGTTCCTGTCTTTTTGCTTTTGTTTTTAAGGGATCAAAAGATTTCAGGGGACATCGGAAGTGTGTGAGAGGGAGGGAAGATGTCTCAGACAATGTATGATTTTCAATTTCCATGTTTTTTCGAGATCTAGATTTGATTGTTGCTACGTTTTCCAGAGTTGTGTAGTGAAGGACTACTTTTAATTGAAAAAGTTGGGTGAAACAGACACAGGAAAAGCAGTTAGAGGGAGAGATGGGTTAGTGCTGGCAAGAGGAAGGGCATCAGCTGGTGCCTGCTGGAGGCCGCTCTCTGGACCTCAGAGAGCATGAAGCTTGATGAGAGCGTTCTTTCAGACATTCCCAGCCAACTGCATCTCGGCCTGCCTGCCACTCGGCTCCTCTCTCCAAGCCCCACCAGCGCCTGCAGCCACATCATCACCTTGGGGAGGTGACTGGGTGTGTGGGGGAGGAGCGGGCAGGAGGGCGGCAGTCTGCAACCAAGATCTGGTTAAGAAAATAGAGATTTTCACAGCCTAGTTCAGCTTGGACCTTTTGGGAAATGCATCTAACCTCTTATGGTATCTCTTTGGGTTGCCTTGGGGGTTCTGACCTTTATTTCCTGAACCTCCACGTTACTTTAATTTTATCTGCTGTGGGAAAGGCACAATGAGTCATGAAGTCTTGGAGGTGGGCTGAGATAAGTCTTCAAAATAACTTCTTAAATAGTTTCCAGGACTTATAAGAATGAACACAAACTTTACATCCAGAGAGCCTGTTAATAAGTTGGAAAAGACATTTCAGACAAGCATAATAATTTAATAATTAGTAAGCACAGAGTTGACTTTCTGAGAATTCCTTCTTAAAGCCATGTGCCGCTGACCCGTACACGTCTCCCTGACCACATTCTACCCAGGCTGGTGGGAATGCTTGGTGAGCTGCAGAGTGTCCTCGATTTTAAGAACTTTGAAGAGATCCCATTGTTGAGGTCCAGGCCCACTGTGATTAACTTAAAATGTGGTGGAAGGGCAGTCGTTGGACATTTTGTTACCCCAAAGTCTCAGCCTCTGTGAATAAAGTTGTTTTTTCATTAACCTTTCAGTGACTGGTTCGACGGGTTACTGGGGGAATAAACAACCAGTGTTATAGGAAAGAGGGGACAGGCTATATTTGGGATGCTGTCAGCATCTCAAGGGGCTCTGTCTTCCAAGGGTAGGTGCGCACACGGTCTGTAGGGGCAAGAGCAGACAAGCCCAGGACCAGTGGATGTAGCTGGGATGTCAGCAAGTAAGATGAAAATTCCCCTGTATAGGATATGTTTTTAATTTTTCCTTTTTGTGTTTGACTTGCTATCTTGTGTGCTTTGTTAATTTATGATGGCTATTTTCTGGAGAAGCCAATAATATAATGCTGCCTTTTTTTTTTTTTAATACTGCCTTTTTAAAAGCATAGTATTTTAGAGTTACAATTCCAAAAAGTATAGTATAAACGTTATTTTTATGGCACAGAAAAAAAGCAGGAGTATGTATCTATTTGGTAAGGGTGTTTATACACACATAAGGATAAATTCTATCTGATCCCCATGTTCATCTGGTTTAGGAAAGCTAAGAGAAATGGACAGTGGGGTCATTTTCTAGGAGTCTATACAAGTCTATGTATCTTCCTTCCTACTGAAGAGAAAGTGGGGTTTTGAGTCTTAGTAATCCAAATAGCTGTTCTAATTTTCCAGATTTAACCGTGGGCTCCAAATTATGGATCAATGAGACCAAGAAATGGTTTCTACTCTTAATTAAAACAAAATCTCAGCTATATTTGGGGTAAACCAGAAGCAGCTGTATTTTTCTACTCTTAGGCTCTCCAAAGGTATGCCTCTGTGCTCTCATCTAAACAAAAGAACAGATTCTGTTTTCTGTAAGTGATCTTGGTTCAAGCCCTGATAACACACACACACACACACACACACACACACACACACACACACTGGTGAGTACACCAGTGGGGGTATGGCAGGTGTGTGAACAATGATAAATAAGTGTATACATGTATGCATGTGTATGTACATGTATGTGTGTATATGCCTGTATTGCATGTGTGTGTATATATATGTTCTGTACACAGGAATGCTCAGAAATTCACCTTTTTGGCATATAAGTGGGACAGATGGACTCGGATCAAGCGCTGAATCCTTTCAAATTAAGCCGAGTATTGATACTTTGGGAAAGGTTTTATTTTTCTATATAGTTCAAGCCAGGGATCATTTGGGTTTTTTGGTACTATTCTAGTGAAACTAACAAAGACTTTATAAAAGAATCTTGAGAGACATTCCGACTTTGAAAACTTTATTTCCATGACTTTTCCAAGGATAAGAGAGCTTCGCAAAGGCCTTTTGCTTTGTCTGGCCTTGGATATTTGCTGGCTCTTGTAGAAGCTAATGGCCTCCTGGGTCTGAAATGCCCCATAAGGTTTTCCAGAAACTGAACAGGACATGTTTTGCCATTTGTGGATATAATTGCGTCTCTCTGAAAAAGAGACCACGTGTGGTCTCTACCATTTCACGCAGAGTGGCCAGGGTATATTCCACATGTGGGTAAAAGAATCAGCCACTCGTGATGTTATTGTTACAGCCTAAGGCTGAGGCCATTGCCCAGACATTGGGAGGCTTATGTTAACATTGCAAAAATGGGTAACATTTCCTGGAAACGTGTACTTCCCATCTTCCTGGTGGCTGGAGTCTTGCTTCCGTAGAGTCAAAAATACACATGATGATAAGCAAACTTTTTATTATTAAAATTAAAGATCATGAGTTAGTTGAAAAAGTAAAATTCTTTTGATCCATGTTTCTAGCAATTTTTTCAAAAATGCCTGAATAGCCAAATGGCAAGTTCTCTGCTACACTTGTCTTATCCAGAGGCCCCAGACTCGGGGTTCTCCAGGGTCAGGCAGATACCAGAGATGTGTACAGTGACCTGGGGTGGGGCAATAGGGAGTCGGGGGGCCTGGGCTGAACTGGGGGGGTCTGTCTCTTCCAATGGTGTCCATATACCAATTACACTGGGCAAACCAAATGAGTGGCTCATAGGCCAGATGTGGATTCAAGCCCAGGGTTTACACCATGGTGGGCAGATGAGACCAAGTGCTAAACTCAGTTCTCCCCCTTGGAGGTAACTGGGGGAAGGGTCGGAGGACCTGTCTTAAGTCCCGAGGGGCACATGGTCAAGTCAGGTGTCTTTACTCCAGTGAGGGAGGGCGAAGGGAAGTTGGCAGGGCAAAGATTTGGTTCCAACCTCATTTTTCCATCACGCATGAGAGTCAAGCAGGAAACAGAAACCCACTTAGGAGGGCCACTGGGAAAGATGATGGTGGAGGGACTATTTATGGGGGAGTGGGCCAGGGGAAGAGACCCCACCCCACCGGGGTGAACAAGTTTGGGTGAAGCTACAGAGCTGGCGCAGGCAGGACCTGAGGAGGAATACCAGACTTGTCTCCCCTCCCGTCTTCCAGCCTCATGTTGGTACCTCTGATTGGCTGAACTCCACCAGAGGTCCAGCCTACGGGGGCCCAGGTAACGCCATCCATAGGGGTCAGCCTACAGGGGCAGAGAGGGGCTTGGAACGCAGCATGGTGGGGATGGGGCAAACAGAGCGTGGCCAGCGCCACGAGGGCCTTCCTCCGGGGCCAGTTGGTTGCAGCTTCCCTGGCCACAATGTTGATGTCCAAGAGCCAAGGCTAGGCTGTCTCCCATAATATGGCGGCTGCAGCTGGCATGCCAGGAGATCGGAGTCTCCTATCTGGCAAGCTTCCAAGAGAAGGTGGCTCTGGATCCTAATCTGAGACCCTCTTAAATGGGTAGTGTCTGGATTCAGCTCCCAAGGGCCCTGCCTCTGGCCATACAGTCTCTGCCTTCACATCTTTGAGCCGGGAAAGGGCTTGCTGAGTTGCTGGAGGCTGTGCATGATTACACATGGAATTGTATCAGTTTGTTGAACATTTAAAACCGAGTTATCCCTTACTGGGTAGTGTCCTGAACATGGCTGCTGCTATCTTACTCTTCCAGAAAGTGTGGCCCACAGGCTGACGAGGGCATCCTCCAGCCCAAGTCCAGAGTAAGTAGGGCACAAACTAAGTGTCTCAGCCCCAGGCAGTGTCTAGGTCAGGCCCTCGTGGAACACCCTGGTGTTCACAAGGCCTTGTCACCCTGGACAACGCTAACTTTAAATCATGACTCAGGTCCTTCTAATATGCAATGTGAAATATTATAATTATCATGCCTTTCCTGGCATCCTGGCATCGCACATCTTTCCCAGGTAGCTGGTCCCCATCTTCTCACTGCACTTTTCCAGGTTTCTCTAGACACACCTACTAGTGGGGAAAATTCCTCTCATTAATGTCTGATTGATTCGTTACCATTCAATAATTTGATGTTCGGGTAGATGTGGGGAGGGGTACGTTAGCCTCATCCAGAGTGTGG